TCACTTGGCTTTATATATCTACTGACCTATGTTATTACACTGTGTAACATACCTTCCTTGGCTTTATATATCTACTGACCTATGTTATTACACTGTGTAACATACCTTCCTTGGCTTTATATATCTACTGACCTATGTTATTACACTGTGTAACATACCTTCCTTGGCTTTATATATCTACTGACCTATGTTATTACACTGTGTAACATACCTTCCTTGGCTTTATATATCTACTGACCTATGTTATTACACTGTGTAACATACCTTCCTTGGCTTTATATATCTACTGACCCATGTTATTACACTGTGTAACATACCTTCCTTGGCTTTATATATCTACTGACCCATGTTATTACACTGTGTAACATACCTTCCTTGGCTTTATATATCTGCTGACCCATGTTATTACATAGTGTATATGAGTTCTGAAATTCACATCCACAGCAAACTGTAAAACAATATTTATTTATTTATTCAATGATACCGCTGTATCTATCGTGGTAATCATTAACTTCTGTACATGCTCTATAATGTCACTAGTAGACACCAACACACTATCACACGTTAATGAATATTTGAAGATTACGAAACGTGGTACTTTGCCCAGCGTTGGTTGTACATGCATACAGGGACTGTCAAATGGATTAGAGTTATGAGGTCAAGTTATAAATGGGCAGGTAGAGGTGCGTTTACTATCATAGTGTATTCTAGACAAGATTGTAAGCAAAAAACCTAAACCCCGGTACTTTTGTATCAAAGTACTAGTCTAAATAAAACATGTATATTACCTCAGACTAGTAATATTACTAGTCTGAGATTTTACTAACTCCAACATATAATGATAGGCCAAATGAGTAACACACAAAACAGGCGTGTCCCTTTGGACGAGAATAAACTAAGTCAAAGAAATAAATAAATTAATAATTATGAAGAATGGTATCTATAATCCTTTGCAACATAATTTGTTAACATTGCTGTTGAGATCTTCTGATTATTATATAGTTCAACACAAATGCGGTATAAACAAAGACTTTACGTTGACTTAGCGATTTTATAACAATGAGATATAATAAAATGTGTTGATGTATTTTATGTTATAATAATGATTAAATTCCAACTACAATACATATTGGGTTGCTGGGCGTGCTGAGATGAAGGGGTCAAAGGTAATGCGTGAAGAAAACAATAAGAAAATATGCGCATCGTAAGAATATGGAGACACTCACCTTCGGCTAATTCTACTTTCTGAAACACTAATATCTGATCAATTTGTGTCAAATATTCCAGACCAGGTGGACAGTCCGCTACCAGTACTGATGGTCGTTGCATCAATTCAAGGCCATCCCCGCCCTGTTTGTGCTCCGTACCTGGTTGCGACGATATCGTGACGGTTTGATCTGGTCCATACTTATAGCCGGTCGGTTGTTGCATGACAATAACCTAGATCTTAGCTGTGTATTGTTAGATATATAGCTATACAGTTGATGTGTCTGCACAATATTATGAAGAGTATCGCGATCAGGGCATGCAACGAGTGATGCCGCAGTTCAATGTTGCGACAAATTATATAAGTTAAAGTGTAACAGTATAAAGTTAAATAGTAATTGACGATAGCTTATTTAACAAACCAGTGTTTGCATAAGTCTTTAGTGAAGTATATAATAGTACAGCACATTTGACAATCAGATCATCCAGACTATACATTGACGACATCACACGTGATTATCACCACATAACACGTGAAGAGTTATGCATAGGCAATCATTTACGGGATTATCTCGTAAAATAATTAATTAACAATTAAACCATGGTATAATCTGAATATGGTTCAGTGACTACTAGCTACGTACTATATATAGTGTATACAACCTCAACGATCGTGACACTAACCAAGACTAAGAAGAACGTATATTGCCCTCCCCGCATTGTATCATCGGAAAGTAACTGAATTTAATTCAGCTGTTGACAACTTGTTGACTGCAATAATGTGGGGTTGGTTAGTATAAATGCTGGACTATTTGTTAGGAATCTCTCGCGTTTTTTTAGTCGAATTGAGTATCTTCACTGTGTAAGTATTGTCTACCAAGCGAGTCAACATCTACGTTTCTTTAAAGGGAAAATACTAGCAAACATGCAGTGTATGTGCGGTGTATGCGTTATTGTACAACCTGTAAACAACAGCAGGTTGAATATAATGAACTGCAAGTTTTATCGATTTTATTGTACAACCTGTAAACAACAGCAGGTTGAATATAATGAACTGCAAGTTTTATCGATTTTATTGTACAACCTGTAAACAACAGCAGGTTGAATATAATGAACTGCAAGTTTTATCGATTTTATTCAAGACTGATTTTATTCAACATTTTGACACAGAATTGACGTTTTCAAGGAAATATATCTGGAAACGTGCAATACATTTTTGTTTATATTATATCATTTTAATCGGCCATTCCATTTACTATTTACGCTTTCTAATACTGCCGGTGGCAACCAATCTCTAACCGTGGATCTAACTGTGCTAAAGCGTATCTATTACGAGCCAAATTCAAATTATGTGCTATGGACGAAAACATTTTTTATATATTATAACACTGAACGCAAATTAAATGTCATCTTTTGAAATGTTTTAACAATATAATAATTCTTAACCAACATTATATGATTGGAGATCCGAAAAATAGTATCAAAATGTCGAAAACGGAAAGTCTCGTAGTGTTCACCATAGAACCAGTGCTATTTTTTAAAATCATTTTTTATTACATTTCGGACTCTTCTACCTCGAAAAAAAATGTTCGTTGTATCCCAATAGCATAAACCTATAATAACGAAAAAAATGCATATAGTCTTCAATTCGTCTTGAGCCTCCTTAAGTGGCATGCATTCTAGATATTCTATATTGCGATGTCATTGAAGGCAATTTACACTATTCTGTACAGTAAACGTATTCAAAGAATGCAATGTAGTGAGCTATCATTTATTACGTAACGTCAATGGACTAGCATACATGTATTGCATACAGTACACCTCGATACCATATGCACAGTATAGTGAACACATGACTAAATACGACTGTTGAGAGCGAAGCAATAGAGGAGGCATCTACGACCAGTATCATTACGGGCTGTGCTGTGAAGTATTCTTCAACATCAAGTAATTTTGCATAAATGATGATACTAATGTTGTGTTGCAATAATGTCTGCCGAGTTAAATCCAATTCCAAGTTCAGCAGACATACTCCTACGTCTGCATCAAGTTTAGTCTATTTGTTGTCTTTTATTTTTTCGAAGTACATAAAATCCTGTCAAAAAAAAAAATTGACTGAGCTCACATGAAAATACACAATCGTCAGGTACTCTGATCGTGATGTGCGGCTCGACTGGACTCCTGATAATAGTATGCAACCAATTACTAGCGCAAGTGATATTCGATCAACCTGGAATTTTGAGAGCGGTGTGCAACCATTGTGGGGCGCCAAAATTAGAGTGCGACCAGTCTGTAACTCTGAAAGTAGTGGGCGACCAGGCTATGATAGTGTTGTTTGACCAGTATGAGACCCTGCTGTGTGCGACCAGTTTTGAGTCATGATAGTGTCGTGAAACGAATCTTGAACCTTGATGTGGTGGTATTTATGGAAACTTGATAGTGGTTCTGGCCAGTCTGGGACCCTAATAATCGTGTGTGAGACCAGGAACAATGGTAGTGGTGTGTGGCTAGTCTGCTACACTTATGACGTGCGGGCAGTCTGGAACCCTCTTAGTGGCGTGTGGTTCGGTCAGTTTCGAACCCACTTTGTAGCGTGCGGTCAGTCTGGAACCCTCGTCGTGACGTTCAGTCAGTCAGAAACCCTCTTAGCGGCGTGCGGTCAGTCTGGAACCCTCTCAGTTTGGAGCTTTCGTAGTAACGTTCGGTCAGTTTTGAACCCGGATAGTCTGGAAACCAGATAGTTTTGTGCGACCTGTCTGACACCCTGATAGTTGTGTGTGTGTGACAAGTCTTTTATTCTAGTATTGTGCAACCATTCAGGCACCCTGCTTGTTTTGGCCGACTTGTCTGAAACCTTAATAGTTTTTTTTCTGGGACCATGCCACCGCCCATATAACTAAGAGCAGAATCATGAAAAAATAGAATAGGTTCCTAAATTGTCAGAATTGATTGACACGGGTGATACTCACTATAAGGAAAACAGCACCCAGCATAACTGCCTTCAGCTTGACGTCAAGGTCAATTGGAACTGCAAAATAAAAAAACAAAACAAAAAAAACATGTCAAACAACTTAACGTACATTGTCAGAGAATCGAACGCAGAGAATTTTGAAATGTTTATGTCGACGTACAATTGTGGTTTGTTATAGCATGGTCAGAACGATCTAGAGTGTACTTGAGCTGCTTGAATTATATATATTTTTAATTTAGTATGTAATTCTCAAATTATCCGTCAAGTCAAAACTACCTTGTAAATCAAGCCAAAATTAATTATGTCTGCATACGTCCACTTCCTTGGTTAGACACCCGTCCTATACTTACACGATATACCAAAATTGTCTGCGTCTGTGATTAACTCCTTTCCCAGTCCACTCCACTGCTTGGAAACACGTCCCACTTTACTTTCCATGTCTGCCGTATATACCTAAATAACAATAATACAAATAATATTGAGATTTTCATTTAAAAAAATAATATTAGGAGAATTGTTGCAATCAAAAGTCATTGTTTGGGACAGGTAGTATGCCATGTGTGTATCATTGTATGAAGGAGTATCATTCATGCTTACGTCAAATTTAACGTCAGAACAGCAACGGCATTTAATACATGGCCCTTTCATCTTCAATATGGTTTCGTCTTCACTGTTTCGTATATCAAACTTTGGTATACAAATGCTGCAACTGAAAGTGGATAATGTTGTTAGTAAGAAGGTCATTTGAATAATCATTTGTTTATCACTTGAAATGCCCAATATTAGGATGACGTACGTTTGTTGGACACGTCCCAGACACAGTCCATCTGCGGTGTATACCTCAAGTTTCATTAGACAGCAAAAGAAGCAACAGTCATCGCATCGATAGGGTCGTTTAAGAACCAGCACTGTCCTGTCTTGATGGTCTTTAACGTTAAGTTTAAACGGTCTCATTGGTCCACATATCTGACGAACACAAAATCCAGATTCTAAATATAGAAACAGGAATAATGCGTGAAATATCATGTACATCGGTCACGTGATCACACAGGAATAACCATGGAGGTAGAAAAGAAATGGAATAACTGAATCATTGAAATAAACAATAAATCGATCAAACGATTGATAATTCTGTGTTTCCTGTAGCTAAAACAGGAAAATGAATATTTATACATGATGAAACCATTTTACAACAACATATACCCACAATGCTTCAGACATGAAATTTAATCTGAGTGCAGACATTTCAAATAAAAGAAATGTTAAGAGTTTCGCCTAGCATTATGGGTAAACACTGCTTGAATGGCCCATTGCAATTATTGATTAACTGTCATATTTATCATTACCTTCTTTGGCTTTGTAGATTTGCTGTCCCATACTATTGTATATGGTGTATTTATTGGAGAATTCACATCTACAACAAACTAATAGAAGACATGTGACTAAGAATGACAGAATACTACAAACAATGGGCTACAGTCACGTGACTAGAAATGAATATTACAAACAATAGTTTACACTGACGATAGTCAAATTCGAAAAGGTAAATGCATTGGAAATGAATAAAATTTGTTGCGGCGCCTTTGGCTTTCTTTTCAAATTGCAATAGCCAGTGTGATTTGAACCAGTGACCGATTAAAGGAAAAATATTATTGGTATTCCTATATGACGAATACATTGTTTGTGTAAATAAATACCTTTACGAGTCTGATTTTATTGACAATTGTGGTCCGGAGACCAGATCCCTCAAAACCCACCCATGAAACAAATTTATAATAATATTTCTCTTATTAAAATACATTAATTGAACATTATTGTAAAATTTACCTATCACATATCAACACAGCAAACATATCAACCTATCAAACATTATATCAACACAGCAAACATTATATCAACACAGCAAACATATCAACCTATCAAACATCATATCAACATATCAAACATTATATCAACACAGCAAACATATCACCTATCAAACATC